TGGCTCAGTTTCCTTTCAATTTAGAAAACTGCATCTCTGACGAATCAATTTAGCTCAGTTTCTTTTCAAAAGTCTGCATCCCTGACGGATAATTATGCTCAGTTTCCTTTAATTAAAAAAATATCCCATTTCCATTTGGAATAAACAGGTTATTTTCATGCTTTCCTATACACTGCGTTTCAAAACATTTAAATAGGCTGACGTATCAATTTTGCTAAGTTTCCTTTCAATAGCTGCATCTCCGATAAATCTATAAAACTCAGTTTTCTTTCAATTCAAAAAGCAATGGATAGTTAATTTCCCAGTGACCATGCGGGCAAAGCCGCGGGTAACAGTTAGTTTACAATACTTTTTTGCGGTGCCAACATTTGGTACACATAATACGAATCAAACCTTTTTACTGGCACAAGTGGCAATATTAGGTAATTTATGATAAATTTACTTTTAAGACAAAATATACTTTATGTCCATTATTTTTCGATTCAGATTTCAAATAAATATATAACTTAAGTTAAGAACATATTTTTCCAAATTTTGGCCCACTGCCAATTGTAATAGAAACCATTTATTAGCAGCAGTGTCAATAATTAGTATTTGGGGGGCCAGAAATAATTTTTATAAATAATTTTCGGTTATCTTCAAAATGAAGCCTTACATAATATACTTACATAAAACATTAATAAAATAAAGACTGATAAGGTAAAGCGGAAAGTTTATTCAGAAGAAAATTTGCAAAAAGCCCTTGTAGAAATAGCTAAGGGCATGAGTAAAAAACTTGCTGCTAAGACCTTCCAAGGGCTGCGTTCGACCATACAATTCCGATTAAAAACGCCAGAACATGGCTCTAAACCACCCCCCCCCCCCCACAATTTTAAATAACGAAGAAGAAGAGGCTTTAGTCAATTGGATCAAACTCAGTAGCCAAAAAGGCTTCCCAAAGCGAAAAGAAGATTTGATAAAAAGTGTTTCGGAGTTTCTAAAAAAATCTAATTGGGCATTTTTTTTAAAAACGGTGAGAAATGGTTTAAATTATTTTTAGCCAGACATCCTACGCTTGTTTATCGTACACCTGAAGCAGTTACAGCTGCCAGCTCAACAGTGTCAGAAAATGATGTTAGAGGATGGTTTGGGCAAATCAAAGACTACTTTGATGAAAACTATTTCACATACTTTCTGACCCAAGACGAGTATTTAATGGAGATGAAACAAATTTTGTTTTGTGCCCTAAAATAGATCTCGTTTTGAATTCGAAAGAAGAAAGAAACGTGTATGAAGTTGATCACGCCCAGGCCAAAACTTCGTTGACTGTTATGTTTACTTTTTGCGCAGATGGCAATCTTACTCCACCGATGGTTATTTTTCCTAATAAAAGACTACCTGCAGAAATAACTACTAAAATTCCTGAAGATTTGGGCGTGGGTCGTGGGGGTGAGATTGGGTGGATGAATTCAGATATTTTTTACGAACACATTAAGAACGTTTTACATCCTCATTTGGTCAAAACAGGCATAATATTTCCGGTCATACTTTTTGTAAACGGTCACAAGTCTCACCTTACTTATGCCGTGAGTGAACTTTGTTCTAATTTGCAAATAATTTTGATTGCAATTTATACAAACTGTACAAGGCTTTATGCCGTGTAGTGGCGGTTAAGAATATCCACTACCCCATATCTTCCCGTGGGTGTCGTAAGAGGCGACAGAGGGAGACAGGCAGGAGATGGGCAGCAGCGTCTTCCTGATGACAACTGTGACGTAATAAAAAAACTGCGGTTGCCAACCCGCTCGCCAAGCGTGGCAACTATGGCAAATACCCCCCAATGAATAAATACACAAACAGACGGCCCCCAGTCCCCGGCGGCCCCGCTATTCCTGGCTACGGTGGCGACCATGGTAACGGCGGGGCAGGGGGTGCTAAGAATCTCCGGTGGAGGTTCGGTTGCCACCTACGACGACTCGACCTGGCAACATATAACGCACGCACCCTGAGGACTGACGAGAAGATACTGGAGCTGGAAGAAGAGGTAGACAAGTTGCGCTGGCATATTATTGGATTATCCGAGGTCCGAAGAGAGGGGGAGGACACGGCAATCCTCGAATCCGGCAACTTGTTCTATCACCGGGAGGGCGACCATCTGTCCCAAGGAGGTGTCGGATTTATCGTCCACAAATCTCTCGTCAACAACGTTGTAAAGATTGGGAGTGTGTCGACGAGGGTCGCGTACCTGATACTCAGAATCACCAAACGGTATTCGCTGAAGGTCATTCAGGTTTACGCACCAACCTCGGCACATCCCGATGAGGAGGTGGAGGAAATGTATGAGGATATTTCCAGAGCCATACATTCCTCCAAAACCTACTACACGGTGTTGATGGGAGACTTCAACGCAAAACTGGGCACAAGAGAAAGCGGTGAGCTGAAGGTAGGGAAATTTGGAGTAGGGCAACGGAACCGAAGGGGCCAGCAGCTGGCCGACTTTATGGAGAAAGAGGGACTCTTTATGATGAACTCTTTCTTCCAGAAGCGGCCCCACAGGAAGTGGACCTGGTCGAGCCCCGACGGTTCGACAAAAAATGAGATTGACTTCATTATGACGACCAGACGCCAACTGTTCAGTGATGTCTCAGTGATCGCAAGGGTGAAAACTGGCAGCGATCACCGAATGGTTAGAGGCACACTGAACCTAAACGTTAAGTTGGAGAGGTCTCGTCTAATGAAGTCAACGCTCCGTCCCCCTCGTGCTCTAATCCAGAATCCCGAAACCTTTCAGCTCGAGTTACGTAACCGCTTCCAGTGCCTAGAAGATTGCAATGCAGTGGACGATATGAACGACAAGCTCGTGGAAACTGTCCATGCGGTCGGAGCTAAGTTCTGCAAGACCCGCCGCAAAAGAACACAAAAACTCTCCGATCACACTCTTAATCTCATGGCTGTTAGACGGGAGATGAGGCTGCAATCGTCAACAGATTTGACAGCATACAGGCAACTGAACAGACAGATCTCCAAATGCATACGGCGAGACTTACGCAAATTTAATACTTCTCGTATTAAAGAAGCGATCGAGCGGAACCAGGGCTCCAAAGTCTTTGCCAGAGATCTGTCTGCCAGAAAGAGCCAACTGTCAAGGCTGAAGACTGAGTGTGGCAACATCGTTTCCGGGACACCTGAGATTTTGAGTGAGATTGAGAGGTTCTATGGGCAGCTGTACACATCATCGTTGGAGCCACACGCAAGTGTGAGTAACGATCCAAGAGCAAATCTTATCCGACACTATTCCGATGATATCCCGGACGTCAGTCTAAGCGAGATTAGAATGGCTCTCCAGCACCTTAAAAACGGCAGGGCCCCAGGCGAGGATGGAATTACAGCGGAGCTTCTGAAAGCGGGTGGAACACCGGTACTTGAAGTCCTTCAGAAGCTCTTCAATTCCGTCCTCCATGGTGGCACTACTCCAGAGGCGTGGAGCAGAAGTGCGGTGGTCTTGTTCTTTAAGAAAGGCGACAACGCTCTCTTAAAGAACTACAGACCGATTTCCCTTCTGAGCCGCGTCTACGTGCTGTTTTCGAGAGTCATTACGAATCGTCTCGCACGCAGACTTGACGACTTCCAGCCTCCCGAACAAGCCGGTTTCCGAAAAGGCTTCAGTACCATAGACCACATACATACCCTGCGGCAGATTGTACAGAAGACTGAAGAGTACAATCTGCCACTTTGCCTGGCGTATGTGGACTATGAGAAAGCCTTTGATTCCGTCGAAATTTGGGCGGTGCTACAGTCCCTTCAGCGGTGCCAAGTTGACTGTCGGTATATCGAAGTGCTGAAGTGTTTGTACAGTAGGGCTACGATGGCTATCCGAGTACAGAACCAGAGCTCGAAACCTATCCAACTGCAGAGAGGTGTAAGACAGGGTGACGTTATATCCCCGAAACTCTTCACCGCTGCATTGGAAGACGTTTTCAAGCTACTGGACTGGAAAGGATACGGTATTGACATCAATGGCGAGTACATCACTCATCTTCGATTTGCCGACGATATAGTCCTTATGGCAGAATCGCTGGAGGACTTAAGCACTATGCTCAATGACCTCAATAGTGCCTCCCAACGGATAGGTCTTAAGATGAACATGGACAAAACAAAGATCATGTTCAATGTCCATGTCACACCTATGCCGGTAGTTGTTGGGAGCACTATGCTCGAAGTTGTTGACGAATACGTTTACCTGGGACAAATAGTCCGACTAGGTAAGTCCAACTTCGACCGAGAGGTCAATCGACGGATTCAACTCGGCTGGGCAGCGTTCGGGAAATTACGGCATATCTTTTCGTCAGGTATACCTCAATCTCTAAAAACTAGATTGTACAACCAGTGCGTGTTGCCAGTGATGACTTACGGATCTGAGACGTGGTCCTTCACTGCTGGCCGTATGAGGACGCTTAAGGTCGCTCAGCGAGCTATGGAGAGGGCTATGCTCGGAGTTTCTCTGCGTGATAGACTCAGAAATGAGGATATCCGCAGTAAAACCAGAGTGACCGACATAGCCCAACGGATTAGTAAGCTGAAGTGGCAATGGGCCGGCCATATAGCTCGAAGAACCGATAACCGATGGGGAAGAAAGGTTCTCGAGTGGCAGCCTCGTACCGGTAGGCGTAGTGTAGGGCGACCCCCCACTAGATGGAGTGACGACCTGGTAAGACATGCAGGAAGTCGATGGATGCAGGTGGCTCAGGACCGTGCTTTGTGGCATTACTTGGGGGGAGGCCTATGTTCAGCAGTGGACTTGTGAAGGGCTGTAATGATGATGATGATGATGATGTACAAGGCTTTTACAGCCTGCTGACGTTGCTGCATTAAAGCCTCTAAACGCAGAATGGCAAAAAAACTGTCTTGGAATGGCGTAGAACAAATCCGTCCCAGGCACTCACTAAGACTCAATTTGTGCCATTGCTTAAAGTCACAATCGAAAAAAGCATAAAGCCGCAAACTATTATCAACGGGTTTAGAGCAACAGGAATTTGTCCGTGGAAGCAGTAGACTACAGTAAATGCCTCGGAACTAAAGGCACAAAAACCACCAAATCACCTCACATCACTCAAGATAACGAGAAATTACTCTCTAAAGACGAGTTTGTTAAATTAGTAGGAAAGAACAAGGTTGATTGCATAGAAAAAGGAGAGTTAACATCGGAAGAGTCTTTTGAGTTGATAAAAAGAATCTGGCATTTCTTCGGCACACCATCAAATTTACAAAACACCGTTTCTCAACAACAAAGTCTAGAAATCATAAATAAAGATGATGACTTTAGTCATTTGGACATTGAGAATATGCCAATATTTATTAACGATTGGCAAATAATATTGTTGAACCCGAAGAATCAAAGTTAGTCCTTATTTCAGAAGAAATTGATTTTGATAAAATCGTAGAGTGCTCTGATGAAGGGAATAAGATAATTGAAGATTTATCACAAGAACCACATTTTAAATTAATATACCACAGTGTTCAAATAAATAATACACCTGAAGACCAGACATAGATTTACCAAAGTCTCATTCAGTACAAATTATTTCAGTTCAATGTAATCCATCCCTCACAGCTTTAATGAACATGAAAAATCTTACTCCCGTTAAATTAAAAGATATTTTGATATTACCTAAAACACCAATAAGAAAAGAGTTAAAAACTCTGTAAAAACCCTGTTTGTACTAACTTCGGCACAGTGGAAAGCACAAGAAAGTGAAAAATCAGAATAAAAGAAGAAAAAGCAGAAGGGATCAAGAAAAGAAAAAAAAGGAATGAAAGAAAATAGAAAATGACAAACGACCGGCCCCAATGAAACAAAAAAATAAGGCTAATGACGAAATATCAAAGGTATTATTTTCTGAGAAATTTTATAAATTTGATAGTGAAAATTATACCATTGTTGAAAATAAAGAAAATGATCAGGAGTTAAATGATATCTTAGACAGACAGCATAGAGGAGGGAGTATTGGTAATAGAACGTATACCATTGCTGAAATAGAAAAAATTTTGACTGAATTAGATGATTATTATGAACGATCTCAGTTAATTACTTTTTATAATTTTATTATTATTTTGTTAATGATTACTTAATTTTTTATAATATTTTGTAAGAAACTTAAAAGAAGTTCCTAAACTATTTTCTTTGATAAAAATTAATACCATTTTTTAATACTCTTCTAGTATTTTATTTCTGTAACCTATGTCCAAATTAAAAAATCCATTAAACGGAAATCACTTAATATCACATAAATCTACCTGGGCATGTTATGCTCATATTGTAATACGTATAGGTGAGCCAATAATAGGTTATGTTCCCTGCCAATAAAGGTATTTTCTATGCTAATGATTGGTCTTTCCACTCAACATCACTTAATTTAAAAAAAATTAAATCAAACTCCGTAATCTAAAATAATGTGTACTGAAAAACGTTCTTTAATGATATTAAAAGAGTTCCTCCAAGAAATCCGAAAAAAAACCGAGTTTTAATTTGGGCCGGTTTTGCATTCCCTAGTAAAAACCACAAATAATTAAATAAAATTTTCGTGAATTAGTGCCATTTTCCATGTGATTATCCCACATTAAAGGAATACTATATAATTAATGAAGTAAGTTAATTTGTTACGAGTACCTCTGATTTTAAATATTTTGGAAATTATAATAAAAACTAAACCAAATCAATTTCACCAAAGAGCCCCATAGCACGTCCCTGCACTGAGTCCAAAGCTGCCAGGTGGAATTTTGCAGCACCAGCCCATATGTGACAGCAGTACTCCATGCACGACCGGACTTGCGTTTTATAAGGTAAGGAGCTGTCCCGGCGTGAAGTACCGCCGCACCCTTGCAAGAACACTAAGTTTCCTTGCGGCTGCTTTGGCTCTGGACTCAATAAACCGCCCATAGTTGAGGTTCGGATAAAATTCAACCCCTAACAACTGAAGGCGGTCAGTGTACTCCAAGGATACATTCCGGAAAGTAGGAGCCAGGGTGAGCAGGCTCCTTTTAGCGGTGAAGACACGCTTGTGTTTTGAAAGGCGTTGAATCTCACGAGATTGGCATCGCCCCATTCGGAGACTGCTTGTAGTGTGAGATTCACACGCTCAATCATAGCCTCTCTTTCGGACTGGATTTGATCCCGACTTGCCCGAGCACTTGGTTGGTATCTCCCCACAACTGTGCTATCGTCTGCATACCCATGGATACCGGGAATAAGCACATCGTTAATATGCAGCAGGAAGAGAGAACAGACCCCTGAGGAACAGCAGCGTCAGTCACCACAGGATCGGATGTGCAGCCAACAACGACGACACGGAGAGACCGTTCACTCAGGAAATTCGTTATCCATTCAATCAGACCAGGGGATAAGCCGTACGCAGGAGATAATGTCAGGAGTATTTAATCCTTTTTTGCAAAGATTTTTGGATTGGATGCTTGTCCTTTAAGCCATATATTAATTTCGTTTTATAGATTTTTTCTTCACATTATGCTGATGTATTACATAGCGAAGATTTTAAAAGATTTTGACGACAGCTTAATCCAGCGGATAGTCGATGACGTCAGTCACTCAAAGTCATTAGGCGTCTAAGCGATCAAAATAACTTGAGGTTTATATCAACATCTAAACACTTTTTTCGTCGTTTTTTTTTAATTAGTTCACATGAGCAAACACTTAATACGCAAAAGCTTTTATGTATCAAAAGCTCTCTTCTGCAAAATAAAGATAGTTTCAATGTCAGTTGCATTACAACATAGCAACATTCCGTATGACAGAATGCTATGGAAATAACTAAAATAAGCTAATTTAGCTGTTTCACATGTAAGGCTTCTAATTTGTATTAGAGTATGTAGCAGCATATGCCTCAAAACTAAGTTTGTTAGCTAGTTTAGATATAATATGAGCGTCCCATTAAATGATATGGCTACAAACTAATAAGAAATATTAGCGCAGATATTGCTTACAATTGAATTTTCTAAGTGAAATTAGTGGTGGTGTTGTAGTATCATCATGAACTGTACAAAATTAAAAATTAAATTAATTAAAAAAATATAATAAGAAAACTAATATTAAAAAATAAAGGTAGCGGCATAAAGGCTAAGACAGATATATTTTGCATTGTTTGCTCTCGCCGCCGCCACGCCGAGTATCGCCCTTCCGTTCCCTGACCTCTACATATTCGATTGTTGGTTTATTTCGTATGTTTTACAAATTGCGCAAAAGATACACTTCCTATAATGTACCTCAGTTTTCTTGGGTGTCCGAAAAATGTGTTGCAACATTTTCACATATATAGAAGACATGATAAAACTATCTACACAATTTACAAAATGCATATCCTTAACTTGATGCTCAGTCTTAATTTTTCTACCCATATTACTGGCTCCCCCCTGGCTGTCCCCCTAGCTCTTCATTAAGAAATAATGAAGATAATGATTACAGGGAGGATAAGCATTTTAGAAGAGGTTCTTTTAATGGAGAATGACGAATACATTATGTTCTTCTACTTCATTGATCTCTTCAGCTGTAAGGAAAAAATATTTTATTTTATGAAATAAAAAAAATAATAAACATACAAAATACATTATTTTTAAATTGGTTTTTTTCCACATATATACAAGAAACTGCTTTAATATTTAACCTGTTACAGTTGAAAATAAGGGTGATTATAAGGTAGGTCTACGTTTAAAAATAGCCTTTATATGTCTATATAACTTTACAATAGACGATTTTAGGCTACTTTACTGAAAAAAAATAATCAGGCGAATTTAGGCTACTTGACAATAAATTTTTGGCGCCTCGGTTCGGTCTAGACGTGGCAACACTGACCCTCCCTAGAGGCAGAGCTTGTCCATAGACCAAGCATATATAAAGGGCAAGCTTGTCTTGTTCAGCCTCTATGGAGTTTCGTCATCTGGTAGTGGTAGTGATTCTTCTGGCCGTGAAGGTTTTGCAGTCTGCGATTTTGAAGGTAAGTTTTATATAGAAACCTATTATTTAAAAAAGAAAGTTTTTAAAATGTTTTTTATCATATTTAGAGTTTTTTGGCGATCTTAATGAAGCTTAACGTACTTAGCTAACGATAAGTTTTCATAATTTTCGTTAACAAAATTCAATATTCGTTTTAAAGTAGTAATTTTTAAGAAGTTTTATTATTTTTTTAAACTGGAGATTCGACGACATAAAAACGCGTTTCATTATAAATGTTTTAACAACGTATAAATATATAATTGCATTTGTTGTGCCGATGTGGGTACACGTAGGTCCTATTTTCTACTAAGGTTTTCAAGTACCTAGCTTTTAATTGTGTTGGTAGGTAGTGAGCTTCATGGAATTAAAATACTGATACGGAAGAAGGCTGAGTCACAAAAGTATGTTTCGAGAAAAATTGAAAAAAAAGCGCGAAATTTGGTTTTCTTGACAGATATCACCGAAAAAATATTTCAACTATTGGAATCTATGTAAAAAAAATTACGAATCTTTCTATTTTTGAATGAAATTATTGGCATACTGTTCTGTAAACTCTAAAAATGTAGTTAACGTAAGTATTGAAACATTATATTTTAATATTAAATAAAAAATACCTTAACTGCTTTTTAGCATAGCATTGACAATAATCATACGTAAAAACGCGGCTAACCTACTTACTTTTGATTTTTGACGCTTTGTTTAAATTATACACTTGGACTACACTTTATTACTGTTAAGTGATATGACTGCCTTATAACATTATGGTTTATCAGCAAACAATAAAAATAAATAGCAGTGCAACTAAACTAAAAGGTAGTTAAATGTACATCAATCTCACGGAACCGCTTTTTTGATTAGCATTAGTATAGGTATATTTCTGTTATGTAAGTTTGAAAAGTTGCTAAGTGTAAAATAAAATGTGCTTTATATAATGTGGGATATAATAATAAAATGTGGGATTGTTTTTTATTCTTAAAGAACCTCTTTTTTATTTTGAAATGTGATTTTCTGCTCTACTAAACAGTTTTCAATTATAATTCTTCATCTTCTGCTAAATCCGATCTGACGAATCTGATTTATTTCCTGATCTTTTTATCATGGAAATTGGTAGGTGGCATAAAGTATGATATCGACTGATTGTCGTCTTCTTCGGAATCAGAACTATTCTGCGGCATCTCCACTGACGGTACATAGTCCATTCTTTTACCGAATCATCGGACCCAAAATCTTCCCCGCTTTATTCTTAATAATGGCGCTCTTCTGCTGGTACTGGAAGACGTACTGTAGATGGCAAGGAGTGAGTAATTTTATAGACTTTTAATTATGGATAGACATAGACTTCTTTGAATTTGGAGCTATTCGGCGGCATGTTTACCGAATTCAAAGCTTCACCGGAGTTAAAATCTTTATCGGCTAATTCAATGTAACGATACTCTTTGGCATATATGGAGTTATTATGGGACATGTTCATCGGTGGCACACGGTTTTTATCTATAGCGATCAATTCTTAAAAAATAAAGTTGAAATAAAATGAATTTATTTCAGACTTATGGTCCATAAAAGCGTTAGTACAAAATATGAATTTACAAATTATGTTAGTAAAACGTAATAAAACAACACTAAAACATTAATTTAAATATTTTCCGGGCTAGTTTGTGGCACTTGGTATACACGCATATGTGCATATCCAGTGTCTCCATGTATGTGTACCCAATGTCCTTGACTGGACAGTCTGGTTTGCTGGTTCTTCCCAGGACAGAGGTTTTTTTCGAACCAGTGGTAACGTAAAATATTGACTTTCAATAAGAATTAGTTGTAATCTATATTGAATAAAAAATTATTCTATTCTACCACTATTAACCTTCAGAATAGTATTGGAGCTCCTTCGCCCTCTGCACATTAGAGATATGATACGATACGTTGGCGTAGTACTACATCCCTGATGCACTGCAAAATCACTGCAGTCCCGACATCATTCGAAAGACGATATTGAACTATACAATTAAATATAATATAATCATTACAATTATATACATCGCTTATAGATGGTACCATTTTTTCGTAACAAAAAATATTCAAAGTGTTTTATTCGTTTTCAGTTAGGTGAATTCATTGTGTATCTTTATTTTGGTGTTGTGAGATATCAAGTTTGAACATCCCGCTTAACTTTTGGAGTTGATAATATTTTGTAAATTGATTCAGAATCACTTATGAGATCCACAGAGTATGATCAAAACTAAAGTGAACTAATTATTAAAGAACGGGGAGCCAGTCGTGTCCAATGTGCCCACTGATTAAGTTTAAATGGCTTACAGTCTTCTGCTGTCTCTTCTCTCGCCACGTTCACTAACTTCTTGCCTTTGTTAAATCAAGGCATTATTCAAGGTGTAAATTAAAAAATATATAAATACTCAAGTAATGTAAGAAGTGAGAGGTAAGCTCCCTCACGTTCCGAAACGATTTAGTATTAAATTAGGAAAAATATTAGTTTATGAATTTGGTGTAATGGTAATCCAAATCCACTTATGCACAATAAAAACCATTGTCAGACCTTTTTGCTTGGTACCCGAGCAGCAGAAGTAGCAGCGCATGCTACCTCAAAATAGAACACTCCTTAGCCATAACGTATTTTAAAATTATTTAGTAATGAATATCACTCTTTTTTTTACATATTATAAAGGATTTTGAATAAAATGTGCTATTACTGACTACTTTTTAAGTGCTAACTAAATCAGGGTTTTTAGATATAAAAAGAGCAAATTTCTATTTTTATATTAATTTTTATTTAGGTCAAGTACTAAGCTGTATGTGGTATGACTGTGGCAATTTCAATGGAGATGCCAGTTTAAAAAATATTTATATAAGTTCATGAACTTATATTTAAAATGAGTGGAAAATGTAATTGTATAAATAAATTTAATTGTATTTTTAATATTATTTAATGTAACGATTTCTCATATTTACGCGAACATTAAACATTTAAATAAAACTAATTTTTACGGATTTTATCGCGTATATTAACTTTTTTATATTCCCGACGTTTCGAGCATTTTACAGCACCCATGGTCACGGGGGTCTAAGGTTTTCGACGACGATCCTGTAATTAATAAAATTAAAACCCAACCCAAGCATACAACTGCAATACTTCAAGATACTATAAGTTCATACTGTGTAGATCGGAACAAATATTAATAATTTTGATCTGTAAATAACCCCGGGTAACTATTACATTGGGACGCCGAAGACCTGTCCCTCCCGTGACCAGGGTTGCTGTAAAGTGCTCGAAACGTCGGGAATATAAAAGTTAATATACGCGATAAAATCCGTAAAAACTAGTTTTATTTTAAAAATATAACTATTTTATTTACTTTAAATTCTATTAAATTTCTTCCTCGCAAATTAATTACAATTTAATGAGAAAATTGAGTCTTAAAGTGTTTTTCATCAGAAAGGACACATTTTTTCGGAGAAATACAGTTTTCTAAATCAAAACCCAAACCAATGAATATAACTTTGACGCACTCGGACAATAGCTCTGATCATACTTTTTTTTTAACTCTTAAAACTTGCTGATATAAATTCTTCACGTACACGTCAATTGCTAAACTTACACTTAGAGGCTTTTTAAAGTAGCACATTCACTTTGCCGCTGTTTAAATATTGTTCCAAATATAATTCAGAGGTTCATCATACACTAAAAAGCAGTGAATGCTTTTTCTGGAAGTATGTGATTTTAATATATTTTTTTAATTCTACGCTTGAAAACAGTTAGTGTTTTTAGCCGTTTTTTAGCTTCTACTACAAGTGTTTACCGCTTTTTAGCATATTATTAGGTATAGCCTAGCATGATTGCAACTAAGGAATAAAGCAGTTATTTACGCTTAACTGCCTCTTAGCTTAGAAAATTTGTTTAACTGCATTTTTTTCTTAGTTTTATAACATCAAATATTAAACTTCAACTAAGAAAATAAATCGCTAAAATCTATTAACGGCTATATAGAGTAACGGTGCATCGTAACTGATTTCTAGCGTATGACAGCAAAGAAAATTTTGCACTTAACCGTCAAAATGCTTAATGTATCTCAGGAACTATCAAGCGTAAAAATATAATTTCAATATTGGTCGATAGAGAATTTTTTGCTTAGTCTAGTGGTGCTGAAAGCTCAAAATCGCCAAAATGCACTTAGCCGCCTTTTTCCGTATCAGGGCAGTATAACCCTCTATACTCGGTACTTTTAATGATTATTGTGATTAAATGATAGCGAAGAGATGGGTCAATCTTAAAATTATTATTTTACTTACCTATTGTAAAATAGTTCTATGGACATTTACAAGTATGCTCTGTTCGTTTATTGATTAAAAACGGTGTTTATTCGGGTAACTAGGCAATAATAAGACTTAGGTCATTACTTTCGGCAGCGTCGTGTGTCGGGTCATCCATTTTCTTTTATAACAAGTTAACAAGGAATTACTGAGTACTAAATGAGTATAAAAGGGGTTCTTCACTCATGTCATATTTCTTCTTATCGAGAGCTTTATAATGATTGAAGAGACGAGGACGACGGCTGCCAAATACGTCATAGTATTTGGCAGCAGCAATGAAAGCTATACCAGCATACCACCCAGCCAGTTGATCGTCATGTTTGCAGCGCGCTTGAAGCGGCGTCCGATAAAACAAAATAGAATTTCGAAAATAAAACTTCCAGTGATATTTACTACAAATATTGTCAAATAAAAAAATTCTTAACAAGTGGAAAGTATATTTTTTAAACATTACCACTAAGTCAGTCTATCATTCATTCGTCAATAATCTATCATTATCATTTTTAAAATCAAAACACATGGGTAACGGATACGTGTTTGAGGAATAAAATAATTATTTCCTCGTTACTAGATGAAACATTAATAGCACATCACATTACTCCACTGCTAAACATAGGCCTATACAAAGCACGGTTCCGACACAGTTTAATGTGGTTCCTAGCCACCGGTATGTCGTCACTCCATCTAGTGAGGTTAATCATAAACATAACTATGATTATTTGCATATTTTCAGTTGTGTCAAACCAGAAGAAAACAACAAATCGTGACGTCATGGATGCCGTGAATAATGCTGTGTGAACGGAGGCGCTGTCGGAAACGCTGTCGCCGACGCGACCATAAATGCTGTGAACAACGCGAGCGATAATACCAGTATGGCTGTCGGCGACGCGAGCGGTGCTGGTTGCGTGGCAGTCGGTGACACCAGGGATGGTGCTAGCGTGGCCATCGGCGACGCGAGCTATGTTGCTAGCCTAGCAGTCGGCGACGCGAGGGGTGCTACCAGCGTGGCAGTCGGCCACGCGAGCTATGCTGCTAGCGTGGCATTCGGCGACGCAAGCAATGCTGCCTGCGTGGCAGTCGGTGACGCCAGCGATGGTGCTAGCGTGGCCATTGGCGACGCGAGGCGCTGATGCTGCTAGCATGGCAGTCGGTGACGCAAGCGATGCTGCTAGCATGGCAGTCGGTGGTGCAGACGATGCTGCTAGCGTGGCAGTCGGTGGTACGAGCGTGGCAGTCGGCGACGCGAGGGATGCTGCTAGCGTGGCAGTCGGCGACGCGAGTGATGCTGCCTGCGTGGCAGTCGGCGACGCCAGCGATGGTGCTAGCGTTGCCGTTGGCGACACGAGCGATGCTGCCAGCGTGGCAGTCGGCGACGCGAGTGATGCTGCTAGCGTGGCAGTCGGTGACGCGAGCGATGCTGCCAGCGTGGCAGTCGGTGGTGCAGACGATGCTGCTAGCGTGGCAGTTGGTGGTACAGCGAGCGTGGCCGTCGGCGACGCGAGCGCTGCTGCCAGCGTGGCAGTCGACGACTACAGCGATGGTGCCAGCGTGGCCGTCGGCGACGCGAGCTATGCTGCCAGCGTGGCAGTCGGCGACTACAGCGAGTTCTGCCAGCGTGGCTGTCGGCGACGCGAGCTATGCTGCCAGCGTGGCAGTCGGCGACTAAAGCGATGCTGCCAGCGTAGCTGTCGGCAACGCGAGCGATGCTGCCAGCGTGGCAGTCGGTGCGCGAGCTACAGCGATGCTGCCAGCGTGGCTGTCGGCATCGCGAGTGATACCGCCAGCGTGGCAGTCAGCGACTACAGCGATGCTGCTAGCGTGGCAGTTGGAGGCTACACCGATGCTGCCAGCGTGGCTGTCGGCATCGCAAGTGTTGCTGCCAGCGTGGCAGTCGGCGACGCGAGCATGGCTGTCGGTGACGTAAGCGGTGCTGCCGGCGTGGCAGTTGGCGTATTAAAGTAGTTGTTAATTAAACAATATTAAATCAGTTGTTAGGATTAGAATTCGATTGTATAATTTTAAACCCCACACATACACACGCGCACACCCACACACACCACACACGGATGCACACAGGGGGCTTGCCAACTGCGTTACCGATCCTTTGAATATGGGTTTTTAAAAGCATTGCATTTTTCTTTTATCTATTACACCCACACTAGGATTTTCTCTTGAGTCATGGAAGCAGCATCAAATCGAATACTTGTTCCGTGCTGGATTAGAAACCGCAGTTCCGTCGCGCGGAGCCGTCATATATTCATTATAGCCTATCACAAGTCCACTGGTGAGCATAGCGCCCCCCTCCCCCCCATAAATTTCCTAAGGTGATATTTCCATAGTTGTCAATACTGTAGGCAAACAGTTTTTATTATTATTATTGCTTTCTACACATTTTCTATTATGAATCATCATAAATAAATAGTATTTGTATAATTATCGTTTTGCTTTTATGTTATTTTTTTAATTATCAAATATAAAATAGATTATTAATCATTGTATTGTCATAATAATCATCGTAAAATAGAGTATTATAAAAGTATTTTCATTTTCTAACAATTTGTAATTAATTCACTTTTCAGTAATATTTATAACAGCGTTTTACTTATTTTCATATTATAAAAGTATTTGGATTGTATAATTCTTACACATTCAAACTGTTGCTTAGGTTCAGTTTTGATAGGTAGCAGGGGTATGCTACCACCACCATTATGTGATATTTAAACGATTGCAATAATTATTGACGGGCTATTTAAGTTGTGAGCTAGTAAAGTGAACAACAAGTAATCAAGCGTATTATTATCCTTCCTACGACTCCTATAATAGGTGTTTCCAACATTGATGTTCAGTTTTAGCACCGAATAAATGATTTGGGCTGTGTTAGGACCAGCCAGGACTGATGCATTGTCTAATAATGAATCTAATTGTAATTCTTTTCTATATTTATTCTAATCTAAAGGCTTATTAGATGGCGATCATTATTGTGATCGAAGCCATTCTACAACATGTTTCATATCACTTTCATATCACAGAGCATAGTAGCACAATAATGAAGCAAATTGTTACACATATCTATCTACCGTACCACACAACATAATAAAATGTGCAATAGTTGTCACAAACAGTCGGAGACTAAGAGCTAGCTGTAAATTTCACAGTACGCAAGCAAACCGGGTTCGATCCCCGCCGGCCACCGGCACCAATAAAATCGTCAATTTAAATTTTAAGTGCTGATTTACCACGTGCTCAACTATGAAGGAAAACATCGTGAGAAAACCTCCATGTCTGAGAAATATGAAAAAACAATATTTCGAAGAGGTTAAGTTTGCCAGAACGTATTAGGCCAGCGCGGCATTTCCTTGCCCTAAAAACATCTCAGAAATAATAGGTGGCCTGTGCTCAGCGCAGCGGTGGGACGTATATAGGTAAGCTCTAACTTTATCTTGAGCATAACCAAGTGTAACAAAGGCAATATTTATGTGTTATTTAGGTTACTGTTGCCACAAAGTAGGGTTCAAACTGCATGTCTGAAGAAATATGAAAAACAATATTTCAAAGAGATCGTACTAGTTAAGTTTGCCAGAACGTAATAGGCCAGCGCGACGGACATTTCCTTGCCCTAAAATCATCTCAGAAATGAAAGGTGGCCTGTGCTCAGCGCAGCGGTGGAACGTATATAGGTAAGGTCTAACTTTATCTTGTGTGACAAATGCAATATTTATGTGTTATTTAGGCTACTATTGCCACAAAGTAAGGTTCAAACTATTTACCAGCATTTGTGGCTTTATGAACGGAACGTTCCTACATAGCGGCAATAATCAAAAGTTTGAATAGTAAAGTACCTCATCTTAACACCTTAACTAGTGTTTTACATTACCAACTCACATTCCAGCACAGTTATTTTTAATTAATTTTTTAATAGTAATTTTTGTAATGCTATTTACCATTCAAGAGTATAAGCGATGTAAATATAACGTTCAACTAAGGTACGTGGAGGAAGCTATGCGAGGAAGCTGAGTTTTTGCCTTGCAGTGCAAGACTGCCCAAAATGCTTTTTTTTATAGGATAGAGTGACAAACGAGCACACAGTCCACCTGATGGTAAGTGGTTGCTGTGGCCCATAGACATCTACATCTATCCTCGATTACGAATCAAAATGCAGATACGTTGTCACCCGTGAGGACTAATATGGAATGCCTTATTTCCAGTAAAAAAAATTCTTCGGTTCTCATTTTACCAAACACAGCAGCATTTAGCTACTATTTTACGCTGGTATTCTGTGAGATCGTGGTCCCTTCCCGGTCAAGCCGACCGATTTGTGCTACAACTATACTACTAATATAATTGTAGCGTAGAGCCTACCACGTTTAAATGATATCGAAAACTGAACCTATTGAGATCGGGCTTCTTAATAAGCCTGATGGTGGATCTTCACCGTCAGTGAAACTGAAACATTGGAGTTATTATCGTCAACCAAAGATATTATAAGTAAAAAGGCGTAGATAGGTTACCTACTTAATATTCGATCTTCAAAAACGGCACACTAACGCACACATAAATAACTAAATATTGCAATAGCAAACTACATTACGATTAGACGTCAAAGTAGGATGGCATGATTAAACTTACGCAAGCGTAAAACAGACAAATGTAATTTGCGACAGCGCGTGGTCTTGTGTAGTAGGAACGATGTAGAATAATTAATCAGATATGACATTATACCGTACACAGTGATTTATGCCTAAAACGCGATTCACTCATGAGTGCAAGTAGTAAAAGTAATAAAGTAGTAAAATGCATTAAAAGTAGGAAAATAAAAAAATTATTGGTTTTATTAAAAATTTATTATCAAATAAAGTGCTGTAATAATTATTTATATACGAACGTATATACCACTTCGTTACGCTACAAAAAAAATAAATTGAACTTATTAATTAATAATGAGATACTTAATTTACCCTTCAATAAAACAAGAAATATATATACACAATTTGAATTACGATACTCAGAAGAGACCTATCTGTTTTTTATATTCTTTGATCAGAAACGATATTACTTCTCTTTCAAACTCACACATTCGGGTATTTTTATCCCTCTCTATTTTTTCTGACAATATATTTCAAAATACGTAATTTTTAAATTTGTAAACAATACGAAAATGAATTAAGGAAATTCTAGTTTGTAAACGAATGTATAATTTATAAAATATGATTCCTGGTTTGACTTTTGGATTTCAACACTTAAAGATATTCCTTGGTAGTAATGTCTGTGCAGTTTTTGACCACTCTTATTATTTTTGGTCATTGGTACAAGCTTATGTGCGGTAGAAAAAGGTGCGGTTCCGTTTATGCATTTAAACATTATAAAAACTGGCTCAAGATACTTCGTAGACATTACCTATATATACATAGTTTTTGTTTGAAAGGTCAACGCTGAAATAAAAGGAATACCTCACAGGATTAAGGATTCATTGCAATCTTAGATAAACTAATTTAAAATAAAGTTAACGAAAATCTTCCAAGCGTAATGTTTTGGAATGCTTAAAAAACGTTCAATTCTTCCCTAACACATTAGCGAGCAAGAAATTTAAAAAAATATTTGTAAATTCCTTATCTATTATTAATAATTGATTGCATTAAGAGTGACAAATTTCTGCCTATTCACTCTTGCTGTTAGGATGCCCAGATTGTATTCGGACGGAAAAATAGACGCCGGTAAATTATTTCACTTCTTTGCTGTAACCATTAAAACGTCGAAGTAAACCGTTTGGTTCTAATGGTTGACAAAGGGGTGAAGACCCGCCGACCACCTGGTCGTTCATTTGTGGAAAGAAGAGGGAGGAATAAAAGCATGCGATTTTTTTTTATAGAAGAGGGGGCAAACGAGCATGCGGCTCACCTGATGTTAAGTGACTACCGCCGCCCATGATCAACCGCAACACCAGGGGAATTGCAGGTGCGTTGACGGCCCTTTAGAAAGGAGTAAGCTCTTTTCTTGAAGATCCCCAGGTCGTATCGGTCCGGAAAAATCGCCGGTGGTAAACTATTCCACAGAGAGGTTGTACGCGGAAGAAAACTCATTTTGAAACGTACAGTGGTGGACCGCCAAGCATCCCGATGGTGTGGATGGTATCGGGACCCTTGCCGTGTAGTGCGTGCACGAAATTTGGCTGCTGGGGTTAATCCGAACAATTCCTCAGAGCACTCTCCATGGTATATGCGAAAGAAAATGCAAAGAGATGCAACATCTCTTCGCAGTGCCAGTGAATCGAGCCGATCGGAAAGCACTCGGTCGTCGACGATTCGAGCCGCTCTGCGCTGGATGCGGTCAAGTGGAAGAAGCTGGTACTGGGGAGCCCCAGCCCAGAGATGGGAACAGTATTCCGTGTGCGGCCGAACCTGCGCCTTGTAAAGTTGCAGGCGGTGTGCCGGCATGAAATACTGTCCCGCTCTACTGAGCACGCCAAGCTTTTTAGAGGCCAATTTGGCCTTCTCTTCCAAGTGACCACGAAACTGCACGTCACTCGATATGTCGATGCCGAGGATTCCGATACTGGCTGAGGCAACAAGGGGAGTGCCTTGAAACTGAGGGGATACGACAAAGGAGTTCTTTTTAGCGGTTAACGCGCAAACTTGTGTCTTCTGGGGGTTAAACTGGACTAGATTTAGTCGCCCCCAATCCGAGACCCTGTTCAGCAAGGACTCGACTTCAGATACAAGTTTGTCGCGGCACTTGGAGACGTTTTCCCGAGAAATATTAGCTCGGCCGGTGTAAAGAGCATCACCAGTGCTGTCATCTGCATAGCAATGAATGTTACGGGTTTGCAACATATCATTGATATGCAGAAGAAACAGCGTTGGGGATAGCACGCAGCCTTGTGGAACACCAGCATTAATAGGTTTGCAATCGGAGCTTGCACCGTCAACAACGACCTTGATGCTCCGATCTGCAAGGAAGCCCATAGGAAGGGAGCTTCAAAAGAAGCGCTTTGTGCCAAACCCGATCGAAGCCCTTCGCAATGTCCAAACTAACGGCCAGTGCCTCTCCCTTGGACTCTACTGCCTCCGCCCATCTGTGAGTTAGGTAGACCAGAAGATCACCAGCTGACCGACCACGGCGAAAACCGTATTGGCGATCACTAATCAGCTGGTGATCCTCAAGGTATCTCATGAGCTGGCAGTTTACAATAGACTCCATTGTTTTGGAGAACAAGGAGGTGATGGCGATAGGCCGGTAGTTGGACGGGTCTGAGCGGTCGCCTTTTTTAGGGATCGGGTGGACGAAAGCCGTCTTCCATGATTTTGGGACTACGCCTAGGGAGTAGGAGTATCGGAAAAGACGCGTTAAAACCAGTGCCAACTCTGGAGCACACGTCCTTAGCACAATTGTGGGGATTCCGTCAGGCCCACTCGACTTGTGGATGTCCAGGGAGAGGAGTGCTTTGCGAACCGAGCGCTGTGTGAACTACACTTCCGGCATGGAGCACTCACACCGCGGGATGGTCGGCGGCGTACTCCCCCATCATCGAGAGTCGAGTTGGACGCAAATAAAGAGCCTAGAAGATCGGCTTTCTCCTTTGCAGTATGGGCCAGAGAGTCGTTCTCCCTGTGCAAAGATGGAAGAGATGGCTGACAGAAATTCCCCTGGACAGCCTTAGCGAGAGACCAGAATGCCCCGTGCATTCTGGTCTCTCGCCAGAAGGAAGGCGAACAGGTTTCTCGTCAATTCCAGAAGGAAGGCGAACAGGTTTCTCGTCAATTCTGCCTATGTGCTCTGAATTTGCCTTGGCAATGACTCTTTTGAAGGAGCTAGAGGCGAAATTATACTTCTTTTTTAGAGCGCTGGTGTTTACATCCCTGGACGCTGATGCGTCAGCCCAGGCTTGGTAGCACTCCTGCTTGTAGCATGATGCTATTTTACAGGAGCGACCAAACCTTGGCTGAGATTTGCCTCCAATGGGCACCACAGAGGAAAGAATAAAAAGTTCCATACCCTCAAGTACCACATCAGCAACTGAATCCGCAACAACGTTGGGATCGTCCGGCGAGAAGCAAACCCGCCCCCAAGGGTAGAATGCAAAAAAAGACCGCATCCCATCCCAATAACCATGTGCCAAACACGGCGGCAGCCTGCAGAACGCAACTGCGATTTCAGCGTGAGTGGCACCACACTCCGGACAAAACAATGGTCCGAGGAGCCTAAAGGGGCGTCGACGGAAATCTGATATCCGTCCGGATGAGAGTCGCGGAAGTGGTCCTTCATCGGATCCGCGTAGGCGCAGTAACCATTTGTGTCAGACCATATGCCAAGGCAATATCATGAACAGATCTCCCCGCATGATCGTCGTCCGCAGGATCCTGCGCACATTCTGCGAAATGCATCCTATAAAATACCGAGAGGCTGGCTACTGTGCTCGAGGCTGACAAGGTTGGTTTCAACCAAATCAAGGTCACCAATGAGCCTCTTAGCATATCTCTGTATTGAGTCCAACGCTGCAAAGCAGCCGTCCAAAGCAGCTGTCCCGGCGTGAAGTACCGCCGCACCCTTGCAAGAACATCAAGTTTCCTTGAGGCAGCTTTGGCTCCAATGAGCACCACTAGTAGAGGATCGGATAATAAATTCAACCCTCAAGCAACTGAAGGCGGTCAGTGTACTCCAAGGATACATTCCGGAAAGTAGGAGCCAGGGTGAGCGGGTTCCTTTTAGCGGTGAGAGTACACGCTTGTGTTTTGGAGGCGGTGAATCTCACGAGATTGGCACCGCCCTATACGGAGACTGCCTGTAGTGTGAGATTCACACGCTCAATCATAGCCTCTCTTTCGGACTGGATTTGATCCCGACTGGCCCGAGCACTTGGTTGGTATCTCCCATAGAGAATGTAACCACTAGACAGCGTATAGGCAGATTTCTTCTAAGCACACGACTCACTACTGCGGGCCAGAGGACGAAGACGAACACGTGGCTGCAAATGGTCAAGTTGCGTTATTATGGCTGTCGTTAGGGTTGCTTTTCTTAAAAAGGAAAATCTTCGATATCGATAAAATGGATTTTATCATTATGAAAAATACTCAATTAAAATCATAGAAATAATATTTAATCAAAATCAATCAGTTACAACGAAAACATTTATTTATTATATTATTATTGATTTTTAAAATGGATTAATTGGTTATATTTATTTCGAATTAAAGTTGAAGGGTCCGGATTGTTCTTCGTAAGAAAATATAAACAAGCGTCTACATATTTGTAAATTATCCATCTTGCTAATTCAATTAAATGATTTGTTGATTCTATTTCAAATTGATAAAAATGAATATCCGGGAATCAATAATACCCAATCAGAGATTTTAAAACCGATCTTATACAATAATTGGTATTTTATAAGATCGGTTTTATTTCGAAGACAGCACTTTTGAACCACTCTCATTGATCGCCCTCTTAATAAAAATTTTACAACGATGACAAATATCTATTACTGTAGTGGATCCGTACAATAATTTGTCTTTAGTGTCGTTTTCAAATTGTAAGGCGTTCTGATTTGGTACACCAATCTAACTAATTTAACTAGGTAGGGGAAGTTCGGGTAGCGCCAGACACTAAAATCAATTGCAAATAAAAATATTAATAAACAAAATTTCTGTCTTTATTTTACACTTAAAGTAAAGCTAGGAATTTCTTTAATCATAATAATTAAAATTATTAATCATATCATTTTTTTTTAAGGAAATATATTGAAAATACTTTGGTCTCATTTTTTTGACGATACAAAAGACGGCGGGTAGCCCCGGACATAATAATCAATACTGGCCTAATCGTTTTTTGGCCTTACAAACATCACAATTAAAATAAACATCCGAAGAATCTATGTAAACACAGTCTTCATGGGCCCAGTTTTTGCATTCCTGGCACTGAATCCAGTCCTCTTCAAATGTTTCTCCACATATGATGCATTCGGTCTCTTCCTCTCCATTTACTTTGGAAAGACTTTGAATATTTTTAGTTGTTTTTAACATCTTTTTTAGTGCCTTTACTTTTTTATTTTTTCGGTTTTCTGTCTCTACTTCTCTGTCTTTCCTCTACATCTTTTTTGTAAGGTGATGATGTTATAATCTCGCTCCTTTGAGTTTTTCGAGCCCGCTTTAACGACCGTTTTTTCGATGCGTCAGGAAATGGTGATAGCTGTTTCAATATATCTGTTGAGCTGGTTGATGACTCCGGTTCATTTGCAGGTAATGCATGACTAGTGGAGGGCACTGGCGAAGAATGTGCTACTGAGAACTGATTGGCCATATTTTTTTTGGAAGAAACTTCTTGCATCACATCTGTCATCATTGATGGTAAAAAATCAATGTCAGTAAAGATTTCAGGGTTAAATGGATAAATTCCTGTGCACTTGAATCCGTTTTGTGCTATATCCAACCTTGCTGCTCTGCTAAAGGCTTCGTCCACAAGTGCAGCAATATCATAGTCAGTGATTCTAGCTGCAGGATTTCGCCTCATCCATGCTGAACTTGCAGTTGCAAATGCAGACTTAAAAGGTTTAAAAAATGTCCTGTCCAACGGCTGTAATTTATGAGTTGTATGAGGTGGTGTGCTCAGCATATGAATGTGATGATTACGTGCATATTTTATAACTGCCAGCTCCTTATGACTAGCGTGGCCATCCAAAATTAAGAGGACAGGATTTGTTTCTGTTGGCTGAACATGTTGTTTAAAATGTTGCAACCATTGGAAGAACACCTCACCGTTCATCCATCCGCTCTCTTGAGGAGTAGCAATACTATCTGGTGGAGCTCCTATCATCAAGCGACCGTTCTTATCCATTTTCTTCCGAGGAAAAATGAAAAGGGGTGGTATGAAATGACCAGTGACATTCATCGCAAAAGTTAATGTGATGTTTCGACCTCTTTCTGCAGATGTTAATTTACCAACCTGTTTTTTTCCTTTTATCGAAATGACTTTATCATTTTTATGCACATTTGATACCCCTGTTTCATCGGCGTTGTAAATTCTAGAAGGAGGGAATTTATATTTCTCTTGAAGGTGATTAAGCTGGCCAAAGAAACGGCTAACTTGTGGTTTGTTAAACCCAACAGCCCGCGCAATGCTAGTCGATTCGGGAGTTCTTAAAACAATATTAGGATATTTTTTTCTAAAACTGTAAAAAAAGTCCTTTCCTGCGACTCCCTTCTCTTTATTAAATCTATGAGGGATTTTGAGGTTTTCTGCCAAATCAAACGCTAATTTTAAAAACTCCTTCCTACTTAATGGCATAAGACGATTGTCCAGTTCTTTAACGTGCTCATATAGTTGCATAGAAAAGTTTTCAGAAAATGTGGTTTCAAATCGCCCCAACTTCGGGTAAAAAGCAACCTCTTTGCCACTTTTCAAAACTTTCAGGCGATCGTGAAGTGAGCTTCTTGGGACATCAAACCTGTCTGCCGCTTGTCTTACAGATAACTTGCCTTCCATCACATTTTTAACAGCTTCTTTCATTTTATTTTCGTCCCATTTTCCTCTATCGCTAATTCTTCCCTTAAATTTCGGCATATTTTAGATCTTTCTGCAACAATAGTAAAAACATTTTAAAATACTTTCCATAAAAAAGCAAACTGACAAAACAATTGTAATTTGTTGACACAATATTGCGAAATTCAAAACTTAAACCACTGTCCGGAGGTACCCGACATTATCGTGTCCGGGGGTACCCGATCGTTATCATTTAACATTTTTAAACACAGCTCTTAAATAGTTAATAAATTGTTTAAAATCCTGTTACAAACTTCAAATGTATAAAATTGGCTACAACATAAATAATAGACAAGTTTACACACTTACGTATTGTACTTAGTATAATCCTTCAATGAAGTTTGACAGGAGCGACGAAGTTTTTTTGGCGGGAACAAAACACACACTCACGGGTAACTAGCTTGGCGGCCGCACCGCAACTGAGTTGGATTTGCTTTTACTCCAGAGGGCGCATATTTATAGTAAAGTTTTACCTACGCAACGTGTTTAGTTTCTTTGATATTTAAATGTCCGGCGTTACCCGCCGTCCGGGGCTACCCGACTTTCCCCTAACTAAAAACTATAAACTTTAACCGAATTTTCTCTTTTTTTCTGAAGACGGTTAAAAGTAGATAAATATTTTTTCACAGTGTGTGAATTGAATAATCTTTTTATTAATTTTAATTTTATTATTTTCTATATCGACTTTCAGCTATTAACGGTAACAGTAAGTACTAATGTTTACGATAAACATACAAAGGGTAAGAAAGGGATAGAAGCATTAGAATTGTCTAATAATAGAACGAGACTTTTACAAAAGACATCAACGCGCTACTCAACCATGTCGTCATTTACCCGGCCACCGTTTTAGATAGACCCCTGCGGTGGCTCATAATTTGAATTAATCAACAAATATTTTCGTATTTTTTACTTAGCAATGAAAAGTTACTCCATTCTTTTTGGACATCTGTCCAGGAATATTTCCCACACCACTTCACCGCGCATGAATGCATTTTGATGCATTATAATTGCATAAAAGTTATAAAAATTTGCATTAATTTAGCGTGTACACAGGTCTAACACTTGGACAATACTAAAATGGTTAATAGTATGATGGCCTATGCATAGGCGACAAAATACTAATAGTTTTCGAGCGTCGGGGCATTGTATGCGCAGTCAAGTGGTTATATAGTCTGGTATCTCCCCACAACTGTGCTATCATCTGCATACCCATAGATACCGGGCATAAGCACATCGTTAATATACAGCAGGAAGAGAGTTGCGGAGAGAACAGATATGATAATATCTGTGATAAGAGAACAGTATTTAATCCTTTTTTACCAAGATTTTTGGATTGGATGCTTGTCCTTTAAGCAATATCAGTCAGCTCAATCCAGCGGATAGTCGATGACGTCAGTCACTCAGACATCAGGCGTCTAAGCGATCAAAATAACTTGAGGTTTATATCAACATCTAAGCACTTTTTGCGTCACTTTTAAGTATCAAAATTTACTTCAAAGCATTATTTAAACGATAAAACAGGTACAACAATCCATCGATGGTCAAGTCCCGCCAAAACTATTTATTCATATTTTTTGGAAGTGTTTTGCAAAGCGTGTACATTGTCCCTGAAGGAATTACTGACTTCGTGGAGTACAGTTACTGATATAACTAACATGTGCTTTGTTTCTAGTATTTACAGAATGTACATCACTATTTTTAATAAAAATATTTTAGTTTTTGTGTACGTAGATTTATTTCGTAAATTTATTGAGAGGCCAAAGTTAATACATTAATTCTTTCTCTAAGCTCTACGGGATTCCTTCGGACCCAGATTATAATTTGCTCGTACGGCTCTCTTCTGCAAAATAAAGACAGTTTCAATGTCAGTAGCATTACAACATAGCAACATTCCGTATGACATAATGCTATGGAAATAACTAAAATAAGCTAATTTAGCTGTTTCAATACATGTAAGGCTTCTAATTTTTATTAGAGTATGTGGCAGCATATGCCTCAAAACTAAGTTTGCTAGCTAGTTTAGATATAATATGAGCGTCCCATTAAATGATATGGCTACAAACTAATAAGAAATATTAGCGCAGATATTGCTTACAATTGAATTTTCTAAGTGAAATTGGTGGTGGTGTTGTAGTATCATCGTGAACTGTACGCTTGGTTGAGATGTCGTCAAAATCTACCAAACACTATGCGATGTGATGTATTAACAGAGTGATGAAGGATTTTGTACTTAAAATACACATTAGATTAGGCTGTATGGTCTAAGACTTTTAGATCCTTTAATTGGCAAATCGTAACAACAACGACCACGATTTGCGTCTTTAAGGCTATCTCTAAGTGTGCCGGGCGACTAAAAATTGCATTTGGTGACTAGTCGCAATTTCGGCTACTTCGAAAAAAACGAAAGCTATTTTTTACTTACATTGCACGCACTATGTGTTATGAAGAGATAGCGCGCTATAATATGGCGTTATGTGCTATATTAACCACCACTAAAGCAGAGCTTGCCCATAGACCAAGCATATATATAGGGCAAGCTCGTCTTGTTCAGCCTCTATGGCGCGTCGTTATTTGGTGGTGGTGGTGATTCTTCAGTCCGTGAGAGTTTTCCAGTCTGCGATATTGAAGGTAGGTTTTATATAGGAACATAATTTTTAAAGAAGAAAGTTATTAAAATGTTTTGTACCATATTTAGAGATTTTTGGCGATTTAATGAAGCTTAACGTACTTAGCTAACGATACGTTTTCATAATTTTCGTTAACAAAATTCAATATTCCTTTTAAAGTTGTAATATTTAAGAAGTTTTATCGTTTTATAAAACTGTAGATTCGACGACAAAGAACGCGTTTTATTATAAATATTTTAACTTTCTATATCTAGTAGGACCAAATTTAAACTAAGAAACATATAAATATATAATTACATTTGTTGGCCCGATGTGGGTACACGGTACACGTACTTCTATTTTATACTAAGGTTTCCAATTAGCTAGCTTTCCTAGCTTTATATTATTTATATTGTGTTGGTAGGCAGTGAGCCTCATGGAATTAAAATTATAAGTGTTTGTGCTTCAAGGCCTATAAACCTCTATACTCGGTACTTTGAATGATTATTGTGATGAAATGATAGCGAAGAGATGGGTCAATCTTACAACTGAATCAATGATTTCTAAAACAACGCAACTAACTAAAAATAAAATTTGTGTGAAATGCAAGTAATTTATAATTATGTCTATATATTTTTTTATTTTAGTGTATAGAGCTCATACTAATGTATTTTTATACATATTTTTATTTTATTTTAGTATAAATAAATGAACTATAAATTTTTTCACTTATGTGCTTTTGACACTAAATCTGTTACTTATGTTGTTTTGATGCTCAAGCAATTACTCTAATATAAAATAATAAGTCAAATACTCATATTTGTTCGACTTTAGTAATGTTATAATTATAACATAATGTTGCTGTACCTACTTTTATAATTATGCATCATCTCCCACTTCATCTACACTTTCTGATGTTGTTGTTGGCCATTCCAAAATTTCTTTATAGAGAAGTCTTTAAATGTATCAGGGACATAGGTTTAGGAGCCAGTGGCATATCTACCTGGGGGCTAGGCGGGGCAGTGCCCCGGGGCCCTCAAGCTCAAGGGGCCTCTCGGCCTCCATGAACGACGTTCAAAATTATATAATATCCTAGTTGAATAAATAATTTTTTACTTTTAACTTTTTGGCCCCTGAACAACAAACCTCGAACGGCTCGAACTGAAATCACAAAAATTTCTTCCACCTTCAGAACATAAACATCATCTACACTTATATAATAAAGCGAAAAAGTGTTTTTTTTTTTGTTTGTTTAAACACGTTAATCTTTGGTATTACTATGCCGATTAGAAAAATTCTTTTTGTATATTATAACCAGATTCATGAGGCAGATAGTGTAGACTATCTAGCATTAGGCAGTACCTATCAGCTAGCCTTAAATATTTTTTAGGTTATAGTTTTATCCGCGATAACGCATAAACCAAACGCGAACGACGCATAAACACTAGCCGCCCGATGAGAACCGAGAGAAACCAATGCTTCTAATAACGAGGTTAGTTCTGTTATTTTAGCTAAAGAATTGGTAAAATTAATAGAGTAATATTATATATCGACATATGTATACATTTTATCCACTCATTCTCTCCCTCCCGGGTGAGCGTCATCCCACACGCGCCCGAATAGCGGTATTTTCCAGTTTTGAGGAAAACAGTACACGATACATGAAAAGTGTCATTGTACAACATAATCCTTAATAAATTTGCTATCAACTTCTCATACATATAAAAGGAATATTGCTTGTAGTTGTCGCGCAATTTACCACGAAATATGTACATTTTTTATCATTTATCGATTTATTTGCTTAATTCGCTGAATGGCCGAATCAATTAATAACAGTAAAATAATCATAAATAATAATCAAAATAGCATAGCAACGTGGAAGGAAAATTTTGAAATAAATTATACTTTTTTTAAAGCAAATATTCTTTACTTTAGTTATAAGGCTGCAAAGTGGGAAATTTTTGAGGAAATCAGTCAGGACTGTTAATGATGGATGCATTAACACTTTTTCTATAATTTAATTATTACTACTACTTTCAAAACTTTTGCTGGATGGCTAAAGGTGTGTGTGGTCTGGCGTTATCGTGATGAAAAAGACCACTCTTTCTCTGTTGATCAATTCCGGCCGGTGTTTTCTCATTTTCTTGCTTGAATCTCATTAGTTATTGGCTGTGGAGATTCGAACCGATGCGATGGTTTTCCCGGCAGTAAAATCTCATAATAAACGATGTCCTTCCATTCCTACCATACAAAATGTTTTTTTTTTTTTTTGTTACTTTTTTATTTTTTAAAAAAAAAAAAAAAAACAATGATATTAAGTAAGGGAAAGGTTTTTAAAGAAAAAATAATTAAAACAGGGATAAAAAAAAAAAATTTATGTTTTTTTTTTTTTTATTTATTTTAAATTTTTTTTTT